GGACAGACACGTTCTGATTTGTTTTATAAGACTCTAGTTTCAATATGAGAGTTTTTGGAACTTTAAGTCTTCATACTTCATGTTTGATGCTTACGATTCATTACAGTGACAAAAAAAAAAGATTTTGGCAGTTTATAACGGCAAAACCGGGAAGCGAAAGAGCAGTTCAGCTTTCTCACGGCAGCAGAAGTGTTAGAAATGGCGGGGAATCTTGGTCTCAAGTGGTCGGGAAGGATTCACAGAGAGAGATTTTAGAGTGAACATTTTTGTATCACGAAGACGTTCTTTGAAGCAACGACAAGAGAATCACTATGTTGATGAAACCACTCCTATCGGCCCCACGAGAGTCAAAAATTTGATTTAAAATTACTTTCGTGACACTGACGAATTAACTTGTAGCCCTAAGCAACATAACCGGCATGCTTATTAGTTTATTTGGAATGCTATTTGGGATGCTGTGCAGTCCCTTGCACTGGAAAACAAACCAAGAAGAACTCAGTAACCAAAATAGGACTAAAATGATTTGAGTTTTGCACATTTTGCCATCCTCGGGAGTAAGCCGGTTCACTTCTTCGCCTGACTATAAAGTTTTGTTCAATTTACGGGTAAACCACTTTATCAGAACCAAACTCCTTTCTGACGATGGGCTAAGGTAAAAAAAATTTTAGCTTTTCAATCTCTATACGGCGGTGATAAAGTGACTCGCCTCCGGCAGTTGTTTTGTGTCAAACTATAGTTACTGCTGTCTACATATTGTCGACCTTAGCATTGTATTGTGAAAATATAGCGAAAAATAACTCTGGCCTGTTTACGTTCGGGTCAACGAAATTTCCTGCAGTTTATACTAATTTTCAGTCCTTGTTTGTAAATTTCCACTTATTGAAATCAGTCCCTATATTGCTTCTTAGTCAATACGCGCGGATTGAAGATTGTTGTTTCCGGTCGTCACGTCGGCCAAAGTCTTGTAAAGCCGCCAAGTGTTTACTGCTTTTTAGGCCTGGATTTTGGCTAATTTTACTGTCATTGTTCACCTATTCATGATAACGTAAAGAAAACAGAACAAAAACGGCTTTTTTATCATGGCTCCCCACGTTTCCGGCTGGTTCATTCCCGTCAAAAGAACGCGCCTTTTTTTTTTTTTGCATGTGTTTTTCTGTTTTGCCTGGTGTCGAGAGGTCAATGAAATGCGCGTGCTGATGCAGAAAGCATCATTTTCTAGGCCGACTCTCTCAAAACCGTCAATTACTAGTTTGAATTAAGAATTATTTACTCGTTTTAACTAAACTGAACTGTTTGGAAGCGATTTTTATGGAAAATAGGCGGGGCTTTTCCCTTAACCACAGTTATGTGCAACTCGCCTACGCATGCTCTGTCATAAACGTGAATAACTGGCGCAGTTTGCAAGTCATGCTTTCGCACTCAGAAAATAACGCTTAAAGAAACTGGCAAAAACTCCTCGCGAAACCTCTTCTTCGCTGCTTTTCTGTGTTAAATGGATGGCTCAATTTTAAAAGAAGCATTTTACACTCCCCCCGTAACTCACAGGTTTGGATTTAATTATGTCTTTTTGATTGAAGTAACCCACTGTCATCAAGCGTCTATCTGTGGAGTTCGGAAAGATGTCTCCGTCATCGATTTAGAGAACTTTGAACTTCAAATAGAGCTCCGACTGACCGTGGCATTTTGATAGAAAGCGTTGGCGTTGAAATTTAAATCACATCTCTGAAGCAGGGAATCGCAATAGCCTAAAATATATAAGTATAAAGAATCTTAGAAGTATGCGTGAATTTATAATCTGCGTCGGTGGCCAGTCACGTCTTTGCAAAGTTTGTTGCAAGACTCATTGAGCGATTCGTACCCGGCGCCCTGTAATCAAAACTCCAAAGATATTCACAGAAACTAGAGGCAGACAAAAAACCTGTTACAAACATAGAAATCAAAATTTGATTTATGTTTACTGAAATGAAACGACGTGATCTCTTGCACTGACTGTGTGTATCTCTGACTTGGTGACCATAGTGTTGCCCGTTCTTGTTTTTCGCAACAAAATTTAAAAACACTTCAAATCAAAGTCTCAACGTAGAAACATATCGCACTGCAAGTATGTAATAAAAAAAAAAAAGAAAGAAAAAGGAAAACAAAGTGAAACCCATTTGGTTTTGGTTGACAGCGTGTTTAGAATAACGCGCACAGGTTCGCCATCGAGAGACAGGAAGTGGCTTACAAGTCTTTTGTAACGTCAAAGAAAAGGAATGAGTTTCCACCAACACACGTGCCAGTTTGAATGCTTGTAGAAGACTAAATATTTCTTAACAGCTTAACTATATTAACTACACTTCCTTGGGCAATTCCTTTGAGGATCAAAATATCTCGAACAAACAACAAGAAGGATTTAGTCAGGAAGGAAATGGAGGACGCCATTTCTGTACTGCTTTGTCAAAAGACGGATTCCTGAGATGCGGGGCGTTTAGTATTCTACGGCGCAATACTGACTTTTGCCAGTTTACAATGTATTTAAAATTATTAATCGAAAGAACCTTTTAGTAGGTTGAAAGAAAAGTTTTCGTGACAAACACGGAATCATTGAACAAAAAGTAGTCTTTTTTGTTACAATGAACAATACCTGGAATCTTTCCTATTTAAATATGTTGACGCTTTACGATACGTTTACGATACGTTTACGATTCAAATCAGCCGTAAAGGAAAAGTGAGTTGATCCGCTATTGCTAGTCTAAACAGCGTAGTGCGAATCATAACTAACGTTTAGCTGAGACAAGAGAATGTATTTTTAACTTCCAATACATGGCCTGTTTCCGCTGGCGGCAGAAGTTAAAACTAAGGGCCGATGAAAGCTGAAGAAAGTGTGAGTTCTGTTTTAAGAACAAAAAAGGAAAAACCTGTCTCGGTAACGTGCAGTACATCCAATCCTCTGACTCTGGACTTACTTCGGCGTAAATAGTCGCCGACCCTTGGCATTTATTACATAGGCCACTCACTGAACAAGCTTTTCAACACTTTAAAATCGAGAAGAAGGAGAAGTTTTGTAGTTGGTCCGTGTTGTTTTTTCATTGTCCGAATAATGCCTATAAACGCACTTACGTGATTCAAGAAATCAGTAGATAAGGAAACAACACTATAGGCAAACCTTTTTTGCGATCACGCTTCTACCAAAAAAAAAACTCAAGAGAGGTTCTGGACTAAGTTCAAGGTTAGTCGTCATCGGTTTGGAGAGCCAGCCAGGAGATTTCAGCTTTTAATAGCCCTACTACCTTTATTGCCATGCAATTTTTTCGTTTCTGGTTTGATCTAAAATTCAAGTTGTGGCCTTTCCTCGTAGACTCAATGTCTTTTTGTAACAAGACCAAATCTTTAATGGCGTTGAAGGCGAGTCGTAAGCGCTAATTTTTCGAGTAAACCACACTGGCGACTGTTGAGCTAATAAAAATGCTAAAATGGTTGTATTTAATTTTGTTTGGGCTTGCATGATCTTTAAGCTAGTTTTTGATCACGAAAGGCGTTAACTTGGTTCGGCACGAGAATTGTCGTTTTTTCGTGCCGGATATGTGTATGAGTTTTAAACTCCACGCGGATATATAACCTGTCTAGAGATTGACTAAGTCATGGAACCTCCCGGCTCTGTTATATAAGATAGATTCGCGTGCAACACTTGCCAAACCGAACTTCAAGCTGACTGAGGTAAGTTCTTCTCTTTCAAATTTTTCGCTCGGCGAATCCGCGCCGGTTTTTAACTGATATCCGTGTTAGTGACAATTGTCGCGGAGATGTAATACATAGCCGCTTCGTCTAATCTCGAGAGGGGTTTAATTGTTTACAAAAGTTAAGTAAGCCTGCGACAACATGCTTGCGAATCAAATCGCCCGGTCGCCATGTTACCTTGTTTGGTATCGTCCTTGTCGAAGATTCAGCACTAATTTGTCAGATTTGTTCAGCGCAGGTGAGCGATTCTATCATTCCCGGAACTGCTTATTATCGGAAATTTGTTTGATTAGAATCATCGAAACTCATGAGCTAACATTTGCAAGATCTAGATTAAGCTGCCCCTCTAACGAAGCAAGCACCAAACGTGTTCATTACATAGGTTTTTAGTAACGGATAAAACAAGGGGCAAACAATTCTGGGTTTCGTGAAGAACAAACACATGACCTCCCACGGCGGGGATCGCTTCGGGCTCTAGCTTTATTTTTGTGAGAAATCTACAAAGATGAGATAATCACGCGAGATTTCTCATAAGCAAAATTTAAATTTAAAAGATGCCCACCTATCAACGAGAGACTATTTGCTTGATTATGATTGAATTATTTCCTTGATACATCAAAGAGACCTACGCTCTTTGCGAATGCGACTTCTGTTCCGACCCCTGTCACAAAATTGATCGCTCTCTCCTCATGCTTTTTTCCCAACAAAGCTTTTTATTTAAACACTTTACTTTCCTCGGGTCTCAGTTCTTTGGCAGAACAGCTGGAGTCCAAGAAGGCCGACCGTTTGATGCGGTTTTTGTGGCATTTGACCACTCGCGTTCACGATTTCTTCAAGGGGGAAAAAATGAACAAAAGCGCCTCTCTATTATAAATACTCTTGGTGATGACGTCACCTAGAGCTGAGGACAAGGTGCACGATCCATCACGTACTCGCGTGATGCGTCACAACTGACCAAGTCACGAGTCAAATATTATACGCAGAATGGCTACGATCATGTTGTTGATAGCGTTGGAGAAATAAACCTCAAACAGATTCGCCCTTTTATGCTATTTTCCGTGACTATTGCCTTACAGGAAAGAGAATTTTGCTTCGCCATTGACCCTGACCTCACGGAGTAATTGATGACTCATTGTTATGTAATTTGAGCCCGCGATGCTTAGTCTTATTGAGCATGCGTAGTGTTTTGTTGCCAAATACAAAATTCCCCAAACTTCTGGAAATATCGGGAAATACGCGTTCGCATCATCCGCTCTCTCGCAGAAAAAGTATTTCATTCATGATTTCCGCCTTTTCTCGTTAGGTACTTGTTTACCGAAAAGGAGACACAAGACAGAGTCCTTTCAAAGATGATAGTCCCAGTTATGGGCAAGGATCCAAGGTGGTTGCTTGTTGAAGTTTGCAGGGAATTTCAGCGTGGAAAATGTTCTCGGACAGAAGACGAATGTCGTTTCGCACATCCACCGGCTCATGTGGCCATCCAGAATGGAAAAGTCACGGCCTGTTTCGACTCGTTAAAGGTATTTGCGTTTTTGTCTTAACGGGAGTAATTGTATGGTATTATGGATTACCTGTGGTGACATTTTCGTTGATTTTTGGTCGCAACTACGAACTTTGTATAAATTCTTTTGTTGGCACCGGTTTTTGAGAACTTGTTGCGTCGTTTTCTGCGACACAGGTTTTTCGCGGGCGATTCAAGTATTAAGCGATTTTGAATACGTGGTATGACTTGGCATTTTGAAAACTGCGTTTTGTTATTTCCCTTCTTTGGGAAATTTTTATACAGTGGTTTCAGTGGCTTTGACAAAGCGATATTTTTAATGTCACAAAGAAGTACAGTGACTATATAGGCAGAGGGCACTGAAACATGCAACCTCAGCACGCAGTTCAATATTTGGAGGAAACACGTTATGTTTCTCTCAAAACTACTTAAAACTTTGATTGTGAGTCGTCTAAGTGGTTATGGTTGGGGTTCTAAACGATGTTTGTGGCTCTTTTGTCTAAGCTATCCAATATTCGCCGTTAAGTTGGGTAAACTAGTGAGAATATTATGTGACAGGTTCACTGTTCTGTAGCCTACATGTCAGAAAAAAATCGACAGTTGCCCTTTGTGTGTCATAATACAAAATATTGCTTTGCGTTTCTGCGTTTCGTGAACAATGTGTTGACACGATACATGAAAGAAGTCAAGAGAGATCTTTCGTGACGCATGAACTTGTTGGTAATTTTTCTGTGCACGAACCATGTTATTAGCTTTGTATACTAAACGCTTTAGTATAAATCGAATTTTCCGTTTGCTCACTGAGAAGGAAATCCAGGTTATGTCAAGTCAAAATCGAAGTGCACGTTCTGAGGAAAAACTTCTTCAACCAAAGGCATTTCGTGCACGTAGGGGCGAAAAACTCAGGAGGGGATTTCAACGTCAACATATGGGCAAAGTATAATGTCTTTGTTCTATCTTCTGAGGCAGATCTTACCTCACGGAATCAAAATTCCTCTATATTTTCGTAACTGTCAATTTAAGTCGCAAAATAGCAGATTTTAAATTTTGATCTTTTACACCCGATTACTACGCGAAAAGAATATCCGTGGATTTCTCCTGCTGAAACGGGGAAATAATTGCGTGCCGGAGTGAAAATTTGTTTTGGAATAATTCTCACGCGATTGTTTAATTTACTCGGTCATTAAATACTTTGGTTTGAGTATTTTCAGCATCCGCTTTTTCTTCACGGTTTTGCGTGACATAAGTTGAAATTTGCAATTATAAAATTATAGTTCTTGGTCCGCATTCAGACAAAAGAAATCAAAGTGTTGGCCAAGACTTCCGCTGGCCCTATTTCTTTTCTTCGCTAAGTTGTTGAACAATTTCCGCATATTGTTTTTTGGGATACTTTGATTCTTTTTCTCAACGCATACTAGAAATAGGCAATATCAGAATTTCTATACTTTTTTTTTTATTCTAATTTAAATGTTACGGTGAATCATTTGTTTTATTTCATAGACATTTTAATGCAACGTCCTTTTAATTTTCTATTATTTGTTGAAATTTAGCCTCCCTTTCTTTACTGCAAATAAAGTTTTTTCATTCTGCCTTTGTACACTTCCCTACACTTCATGTGGCCTTGAAAATTTGACCTTGAAGAGAAAACGGCTCACTGCCCTCTTTTGATAACACATGTTGTGGTTTCAAAGTTTAAGCAAGATCTCTTTTAAACAACCTGTTATGCTGGTTTAAATGACAATAGTGTCAATTTGCCAGCATTTTAAAGTGCCCTGAGTTGTCAAACGTGATCTTTTTAGGATGTCAATCGTAACATCAAACTTCCTCATGTATCTTTTTTGCAAAGCATATTTTTCTTGTATTTTGTGAATCAGATGACTATTAAATTTGCCATTCAGGCTTTTGATGTAGACAGAAAAATAAGTGAGGAACTAGAATATAAATTTACTGTAACGTAATATCAGTTTGAATGTTTTACTTTTCTTCAAAGGTAGCCTTAGTGAGAAAGGACCAGTCGTAAAAGTGATAATATTTGCTATATTCAGGCAGGTTCTCAGTTAAACCCTAATGCAACCACAATTATCAGTACTATAGGGTGTCACCAGCGTCCTCTTTTGTCTTGAAAATTTCTAAGCAATTTTTTGACTTGGAATTAGTTTTCCTTATGGTTATGTATAGAGTTTTTCTCTTAAACAAAATTAAGCTCTTGAATTTTAAAAACAGAAAGAGATTGAGAAAGTCATCCCTCAGAGTGGTAAACCTTTCAGACATATTTTGTTTGCATGTGCCCTAGCCGGTGTGAAACGTTAATCCTGTCTTACATGGTCTGTAGCCATAAGTATGCTTGTGGAATCATAAGCAGTTTAGTCTGTCTTTTGAAAGTTTAACATCATAATTTTGTAGTCAGATGTCTACAGTCTATGACCTGTACCCAGAAAGTGTCAAAGAATGATTTGTTCCTTTCCTAGGTCAGGCATGGGCAAACACAGGGCAAAAGCAAAGACAATAAAAAAGACTTTTCTGTCTTTTGGTTTGCCAGCAGGGGTTTAGTCTTGCTACTCAGACATAATTTGTCTGTGATATTAATATTGAAATTCTTACAAATTTGCAGTAGACTGGATCAAAATGCTAAGATGGTTAGGTGATTTAGGTTTTCACGTAGATCAATGACATTCTGTATATGCTGTTCTACTTCCTTCTGTTTTGGTTTGCACCTAGAACAGTAGAAGCTGAACCTGTTTGCAAAATTCTCAGTCAAAGAAGCTACTTGTAAAAAATGCCTGTTAGTTTATGAACTTGGTGACATGTGTTATCAGTTTCTGAGCTTATCTGATTATCCTTGTTATGAAATAAGCTTTCTCAAGGGTTGTTTTAGATATATAATAAGCTGATTAATTTTAATGCTACTATTTAATCAGTTTGTCGGGTCAAAGTTAGCAGGTTGATGTTTCAGCAGAAAGAGCGTACATTTTGTTAATAATACGTCACAAGACAAGAGAGTTTTTAAATGGAGATTATTCTTAAATGATGACAGCCAAGTACTATTTCTGGAATGTGGGTTTTTTATTAATAAGTATATTAGATTCAGTGCACAATGACATATATGCTAAGGAGCCTGCTGACAAACTGTCTAGACTTGTGCCTGGTTTATTTGAATCATTTAGAAATTTTATCCTTCCTCTTAGGTTTTGTAAGGAATAGGATTAAAACCAGCCCTTCTTCCAACTTTTTAGGTATTAAATTTTAAACGTATGGCTCTCTCTATGTAGCTGATATTTCAGATCCATGACAAGGTCGGTCTTTTGCTCGGCACATTACTTTGACCCCTCAATTTGAAACAGTGCATTCTGATTGCTGGCACCTGTTGATTTTGTCTCTTTTCTCTTGAAATCAGTAGGAATCTGTGCTGAAATAACCACCTGTTTTGTTTAACTTTTGGTGGTACCTCAGCCATTATGAACAGGTCCTGTCAAAACTTTAAACTTCATACGGGGCAAAATTCTACATTATATATTGATATTATGCTTTGTAAAGATGTTAAGCATCAATAATGACATGTCTAGATCATCTAGAGGGCTTTCAATAGACAGTCAAATCTATTTTTAGCAACCCTTTGATAGATGCTTGTCCAACGGTGGCAGATAAGGATAGTGACCAATATTACAGGAGACAACTATTCTAGCACAGGGGAACTAAAACGTTTCTTTGTCATTGATGGCTGCTGTTGAAATGAATACTGTCTTGGTAAAGTTTCCCTCAAAATTCTGTTGTACATGTTATATTTAGTACTAGCACTAGGCTTTGTTTTATGCTATTATGGGTCTAGAGTAACAGTTCTTTTCTGAACACAAAAGTGTGTTTCTGATATGTTTTGAGATTGTATGATGGAGCTAGTTTTAAGGTCCTCATTTTCTAACATTTTTATCAACGAGAAAAATCATTAACAATAGTTTTGATGATAAATTATTGAGATAATGGGGTTTGTATTAAGTTTAATAATAGAAGCAATAATAATAATAATAACACTTTCATTGCAAAGGTCAAACTGAGGGATTTTATGCCCAGAATAGGAACGTAGACTTGCATGTATCTGGTAGTACATGAGGCTACTATGTTTTGAGGTTTTATCGGTCTTTTTTTTTCCATTAAAGAGTGTGTGAGATAATATTGAATTTGGACTTTGTTCTTCAGACTAGGCATATCAAAAGTAACATACGTACTGTTTGTCGTAGCCATAAGGTCTTGCTAGGATATTCTAATGATCCTTTCCTTTTCACAATATTTACTTATAAGTGAACAAAAATGTTGAATACATGCTTTGTTTTTAGGGTCGGTGTCGCAGAGACAACTGCAAATATTTACATCCTCCAAAACACATCAAGGCTCAGATGGAAAATAATGGCCGTCTGCTACAGCAACAGCAGCAACAGCAGCAGCTTGCTTTTCAGCAACAAGCTTTTGCACCTTTGGCGCAGCAGATGCTAGCAAATCCTTCTTTTGTAAGTTTGTTTGCCTTCACCTTGCTTTCTGTATTAAATTGATTATGAACTGTAAGGACAAGTTAAAACACTAGTAGTAAGTCACAGATACACTTAATGCAGCAGCACTACTCTCTCTGCTCTTGATATTTTACCTTCTTCTTACTGTGGCTTTAAGGCATTTACAAGGCCAAGTTAAGATAATTATGGTAAATTTTGTCTTGGAGGAAAAAAGGGTTTCATGTGGGAGTGCCACCTTGCTTTTCAGTATTAACCTAAATGTATTCAATTCAAAGCAAATTAAAAAGGACAGATAACAAGTTGTTGCAGCTCAAAAACGGTTGTGGTAATTCATTGGAGTAAAATTTTGGAGTGATGTGTGGCGTATTGATTGACAGTTTTTGTGTTCTTTGGGAACTAATTTGTGTGATAAGAACACTAAAGGCAACTGCTTGGTACTTAAAGTCAAATGAGTTTAAGTTAAGAGAATCTGGGAAACCTCCCGTTTTTTTTGGAGGACAGCTTTATGCTAGACCTCTCTTGGTCGTTTTTAGAGCATTTGCCCTGAACCGAAGCTCAAGAAATTCAGTGATGAATCTTCCACAGTTTTCTTACACGAAAAGCTCTAATCCTGTCCCCTTACTACTGCTAGTTGTGTGAATATAATATTTAAAGAGGTATACACAAAACACTTTCCCCGAAAATTAATTCCATAACATTGTGTATATGTATCCTCAAATTGCAGATATCTACTTGGCCGTTAAGCTTGCCTGGATCAAATGGAACATATCTTCAACAGCCCCTTGCATTTCTCCCAGATACATCGGCTTTGGCACAAACTCCCTCAAGAAGACTAGACAAGTCTGACAAATTAGAGGTTAGTTATGCATAAACATAACACTCAACAATTAGAGCAAATATTTTGAAGAAATATCACTAGACTAGAATGCTCTTGACCCTTCCACCCAGACAAGCTTGTCAACCTAAAAAATATACTGCTTAAATGGAAAAAGCAAAGCAAATATTTTGGAAAAATATTACTTGACTAGACTACTCTTGACCCTTTTGTCCAGACAGGCCAGTCAACATAAAAACGTTTGAACGTACTGATAAAAGGGGGAAACTTCCCAGTCACTTTCATTGAAATAGGGCATGTCTTAAATCAGATTGTAAAATTATTGTCATCTCCATTTTTCGCACATGAACAGCACTGAATACAAGTACTGTCAGGGCTCGTAATTAAAAAAATCCTCAGGTTGCCTTTTGGCAACCAAGTGGAGAAATATGATCGCCAGAGGCAAATTTTTAGTTGCCAGTTTGCATAATGTAAATGAAGCAGCTCATAGTATAGCACAATCCATCAGAATTGATTGTTTGAAAATAACACGGACAGAAGTTGGTATAAATTTGGAGGTTAACTGGCCTTGTTTATGCCATTTGGCAAATGAAATTTACTCTTTTAATTTAAGTCTAAATCATAGAGAAATCTGGTCACTAAAGTGTCGACTAAACCAGAATTTTTAGTCACCAAGGAGAAAATGTTAGTCACATTGGCGACCGTATCAGTCGCAATTTCAAGCCCTGACTGTTCAGCTTGATGTGAATAGATTTTATTTTAACTGTTTGAGTCATAAATAATTAACTCAAACATTTCTAATAAAAATCTATCCAGATCAAACTTAGAATAAGTACACAATGTTTTTACCACAGTGCTGACTGAAAGTTCTTCTGCACGTTGTTTTGACCATATCATCGCCATAAACATTGTTGTCATCAAATTAACATCAAATTCATCTTCAGGTCTGCCGTGAATTCCAGCGAGGGGCATGTTCAAGAGAAGAGTGCAGATATGCGCATCCTCCACGACATGTGTCGATTGACAGCTCTGATGGAATGATTACAGTCTGTATGGACTTCATGAAAGGAAGATGTCAAAGAGAAATGTGTCGATACTTTCATCCGCCATCTCATCTTCAAGGAAGAGTACGGGCAGCTCAGCAACAGTCAGTGCCGGTTAGTTAAAAGCAAGGGTGTTTGGTTACTAGCTAGTTGATTATGGTGTAGGACTATCAGTCCTTTCAATGAAAACAGTGACTGCATGTATATATTTTGTGATATTGACATCAGCTAACATCAGACTTTTGCCAATACAATGTAGCTGTTTTTCTTTGCCATCTGTGATTAGACATGGTGCATTTTATTACTTATTAGAATATTTCCAGCATAAAATCCAGAAGAAATTATTCTTTCATGACATTTTGTGTGGTCCTGTGATTTTTTTATTATCGTAGTTATATTAATTTTAAATGATGTTATTGTTAGCGTGGTGGATCAGTTGCACAGGTTAAGAGATAGGAGTAAATAATTCCAAGCAACATTTAAGTTAAAAAGTAAAAAAAATGTAAATGTTTTGTTTTTGTTGAACAGAAAAGTCTCTTTTTTATATTATAGTTGTTTTAAATAAAAAAAGAGTATTATTAGAGTAAGTAAAAACCACAGTGTTCCTTGTAAAATGTTAGGGTTTTTTTTCCTTTTTAAGAAAGTTGTTTGATTTCCTTAAAAGGTTAACTAAAAGTATGTAACAACAATATAATGAGCACTAATGTAAAATAATCTGTTTACTGCACCTGCTTGCATGCCAGAAATAATTCAATCAGTTTTGTAGCTGATGACTTGCTGTGACTTGTGTAAAAACAAGACTCTCTCTCCCATGCTGCTTGCATGCTTGTTTAAAGAAACTATTGAATTAACAGTCAGTAGCTCATAGAGCAAAGTGAAGATATTGCTTGACATTTTTGAAGACAGCTGGCTTCTGTTTCGGTTTTTGTATCCCACGTGATTTGATTTGTGAGCCGAGCTCCAAGTTCAGCAAGATGGTCTTTGAACCTGAATGATCCGTAACCCTGCATGGAATAATGCATGAAGCTTTTTAAAGAGCAGTTTCCAGTTAAGTGTTTGTGTTGTTCAAAACAACCTTGCACTTCCTTTGACAGGGGAAAAAAGTAAAATTATCGAAAAATGTACTATAACCTGCATGTTCATGTTTGTAAGCATATGGCATAATATTGGGGTTGGCAAAAATACTTTTTCAGCACTTAAGTGGAAACTGCTTTATTAGCTAGCGGTTTGCTTAAATTATGACTTGCATTTTGCTTGTCTTTTTTCATGTGCCACCCTGCTGCCGCTGCTTTCGTCATATTGCTGCTGGCTGGCTGGCATTGCGGCTCATTCCTTTTGTGCTTGCAATCATCGCCTGCTGTCTTAGTTGGAAGGCAGTCGCAAGAGGCCTCATGACACAATGACATTACCAGAACTGGTACTTAATTGCCTTTTGCTTTTCTAGAACTGTTCGTTGTAACATGCACGCTGTTTTTAGCTGTTTGTTTGCACCACTAATAACAGACCTTAACAGGGTTCCAACCTGATAATTTTAAGGGGGACAGCTATTCACAATACACTACTTTGAAGTCCATATTAAGCTTTTGATTGTTGTTGTTTGATCTTGTTTGGCATGTCCAAATGATCTATTTGGTAAAAGATGCTTCTATAAAGTGGTACAAAAATTGTGACATTTTTAACTGGCAATCAAACTGTCACAAAATAGCAAAACTTCGTTTAAAAAAATTTGAGCAGTGAAATGCACTGAAAGTACTTAGCTTACCATCTCCCGAGTCCCTCTTCCTTGATGAAAAAAGCATGAATGCACCTTTTTTTTGTAAAGATTTACAGCATTGTCATTATCATAATTGCCATCATTTGTTTTGGTGTAGACAGTATAGTTCAGAGAAATGTAAGAAAAAGACAGCTTGGAACCCTGTGCCAGCATTTTTACATTGTCATTTATAGTGTTAGAGTATAAAGTAATAATTTTAATTTCATTTTAAGAAGACTACATGTTAAGCGGATGCAATGGAGTTGGTTTGGTACACTTTATAGCTTGAACCATTATTTTGGGGCCTTCTTGAAACAAGCTTTACCGTCCTAGAAAAATCAGTATTATTCATTTCTTGAAGTACATTCTGGGTCTTTTGTAAAGTTTGTTACTCTGACTCTAACGATTGAACTTTACATCAGGATAATTACTTTATTATTTTGCTCTTGTTCGTGATGTGTTTTCTTTTTAAGTTTTCCAAATAATTCATCTCTATTATGACTGTAAGTATGAAAAAATTATGAGTTCATTATCATTAAATACCTTTTTTTGCCTCCTAATCTTTAAACATGTTGTATTGTTGAATTGAATCAAACAGAAAAGTCTAGTAAGGTGTTAAATAGCATGGTACAAAATGATGTATAGGATCACTTACTCTTTATAGATGACTTTGATTGTAGGTTCAGGCATTGTCAATAGGGTTTGATATGTTTTTTATTTTGGGACTAAATTTGTGTTATTTCTCTTCAGAGTTTTGGTGAACCATTCAAAAAGCAAACTGCATTGGAAGTGCCCCTGGTGATGCCAGCTGCAGGGGCTGCAACAGCACTTCAGTCCTTTAACCAACCACTGGGACTGCAGTTTACCTCACTTATACCTACAAGTAAGTAAACAAAACTCAGTCAAAACGTAAGTAGGATGTAAGTTTCAGATTAGACTGGGTGTGGTTGTTGTTGTTGTCCCATTCTTCCTATAATCTGTGTCACAATTCCTGAAGCGTCTCTTCTATTTATTCTGCCAGCATCATCTTGTTACTAGCTTATCATTCATTCATTCAGTCATGTTTGTTTGTCGTATCACACATCCTTACAATAAAGGTACACATGTTATAAAGAAAGTTAAAGGAAGCAGATGGTGAGGAAACCTGAAAGAAAGCAATTAGACTGGGTGTGTTTGTTGTTGTTACAAGTCCCATTCTTCCTATAATCTGTGTTACAATTCCTGTAGTGTCTCTTCTATTTATTCTGCTAATACCTATTGAGAAGAAATTCTTTAAGCCTTTTTTTAAAAGGTGTATAGGTGGGTGATTTAGTTATCTTAACATTCAGAGAGTTGTAAAACTTTTGACCTTGAAAGTAAAATGGAAAACTGCCTGGTATTGGTTCTACATAGCAGTAAACAAATAGATTGAGCACTCCTTGTATTATAATTATGTATTTCGTTGTTCATTGGAAAAAAGTTATTGAATTTTGAAGGGAGTGTAGAGTTCTTAAGTGAAAACATAAAAAGGCTTAATTCAGTGAAACAAGTGGATATCTTGACATTTCATTTATCAGCTGCTAAGCATATGCTGTAGTGGTAAATCTTGCTTGTGTTTGGATCCCTTTTAATATGCTACTATATGTCTTGCTTCTTCTTCTCTGGAGACAAAACATTTCGTCAATAAAGGGACAGGTTCATGGTTCAGCACATGCTCGTTAATCAAATGCTATTTTTCTGCTGGGACATGCTGTATCATCTATGCAAGCAATATGATCATGTCATAATGTTGTCAAAGAACCAATCTGCACACTCTCCTGGCAGTCACTTAATCAACTGAGGTGCAAATAGCTGTAAATTAATCAACTGTGGAATAAAACCCTCGGGTCAACAATGAATTCAACGTTGGTAGTGTTGGTACAAATTATCCACTAATTTTTCTGCGATTTTAGTACTCCTCCATCCCACTTCAGTTTACTCTGAAATACACTTCTACTTTGAAATACACTCTGAGATTGCTGAGATACATGTGAGTGGGATTATTAACCGATAGAATTAATAATAAATTGGAAAAACGTAAATGAGCATGATCTGAAGCGTGAACCTGTCCCTTTAACTGCCAAGAGTGACATCAATAATATTCTCCTAACATCATCAGTTCGCAATCAAGACAAGAAGTTATGAGAATTGATAAAATGATCGCCAAAGGAAAAATGCTCTGATCGTTTTTCAGATTCTCCCAACCAATTCAGTAAGGAAATGTATAGAGATCAATTGGAGAGTTTGTAAGCAGATATTGGGGGGGTCTAACATGTTTCTAAATTGCATTGGGTTTTTGCAGATATCTAAGCAGGATCCAGATTTTATGTATTAAACTTTGTTTTACTTTCTCTAGTGCCGTTGCTTGCACCTGGGTTACCACTGCTTCAAACACAAGTTCCTCAGGTAATTATTATATTAGCCATTCATAATGGCACTTCAAGGAGGCTGTTTATTGATCAGTGCAGGGAAACGCTTATGTGATGCATAAGTGAAACTGTGCTTGTTTGGAAGTTATCCCAGTTCCAGTAGAGCTCAAAGTAAAGTAAAAAGGAAGAAATAGAATAAAGGCACATGATAATGATTAATTTTCCCATGACAGTGGCTATTATTCTTTAATTAGGTGAGAATATGAGAATATTGGCTGAAGATTCAAAATTTCCATATTTAGTCAGTGTTCTGTGGAGCCTAGATATAGTGAACAGCCAAGAGACTGACAAATTATTTTAGCTGGTTCTTTTCCATATAATTAACCTTAATGTACGGGGGTAAAGAATGTTGTTCGTCATACTAAGGACTTTCTTATACAGAGGTTTGTTATATGGAAGTTTCACCATATTTTGTTCCTACCATGGTAGCCACTGCTTACATTCCCTAGAAAACAGCTCTGATTCCTCTCTCACATATTCATTTACTTGAATCTCACTGTTTGTCGTAAACAGCCTTCTTGATCCACCAGTCTACACATTTTGTGTTATAAGTTCATGAATAGTCGCCATACATGTTAGAGTCAAACTTTTCTTTAGAAATTTTGTAAGGGTTTTCTACATTTTAAGTGGTAATTATTTTCAACAAAGTTTATTGCCTCTTGTGTGCTGTCATATAATAACCAGAAATGATGCAAATGGGTTTTGCAAAATTGCATTGCTTTCACATTTATCCTCCTTGAGGATCCGAGTCCCCGGTCTTCTCTGGCCTCTCACAGATCCCTCGTTCCCCTGTTTGCTGCAGTATTGACACAATCGTATCTTTGGTTGCTAAAAGCAAATCACATAATTGGCAGCAAGTAAAGGCACTTATCATCTGTGCCTATATTCATTAGCAATAATACAAGTACTGAGCAGCAGTAATTAGTGTCTATCCAATACAACTGTAATTAATCTTGTTAATTAATTTCAACGCAGCAGAAAGGTGCCAGTTTAACTGCTCCCAATATTAATATGTTAACATTTTGTTAACACTTTTAATGTATTTTGTTGATTAAACCCTGGGCCCCTAGAAGTAAATACAAGGACTAAAAGGGAAAGTTAATGTTGTAACTAAGCCCAAAAGACATTTATTTGTGGTAAAATAATTTTATCAAGACAAAAGGGCATGATACACCGTTGCTGAAAAAGACATGAAAACCCTGTCTTAAAAAATTGCACGTCCCAACAGACGGCAGATTAAAGCATTTCCAAATGCTAAGTCCACCAGGTTATGTTTGAGTAAAGATGTTTAATTGACAAAATACAGAATCAAGAAATACATATAAACTGCATTTAATTCGTATAGGTAATAGCATGATTTGTAGTGATATTTGGCAGAAATACTACGAGTGATATTTCGAAATTGTTATACGTAATTTGAGACAATTTTGAAATGTCACGAGTGGTATTTATGCAAAATGTCACATAAAAATCATCCTAGTATTTTTTTGTACTACTACCCACAAATGGTTTCAAATTTTCACATGTAGGTATTTCAAATTAAGCTGAAATACCGCTGCTCTAAGCCCATCAAATTGCAGAAATTTCTGATGTAGCAGTATGATAAAAAAATTGTAGTAATATTTATGTACATATAGAGCTAGGTTCTTTAGAAACTGATGATTATTGTGCATTAGGTTGAAAATGATTCTAATGTTGATGTTTCCTTTCCTGTTCCATGTTCTACTAGTGGCAACCTCAGACTGTTCAACCACAGGTGTTAAGCTATATGCCTGTGGAGTCGGCTGCAACGCCACCACCTCCACTAGCTCCTCCTCCTCCTCCACCACAATCCTCATACCAAATAGTTGACCCTCAAGTCCAGTCAATGGACATGCAGTACTGGAACAGCTACACATTAGGCTCATCAACACCCACCACACCCACTTTTGTGTTGGCGCCTCATGTTTTGTAATCAGTGGGGCAATTTTTTTATTCATGAGTGATTGGTGGAGGGTATTAATTGACAGTACAGTGTCAAAGTAGAGGGGTTGGTGGAATGATTGCACAGGGATACCCAGAGTGAGAAGCTGACTGACCAGTAGCTGTTTTGAGCCTTTGCTTTGCATAAAGCAAGGAATGAAGCTGGTTATCCTGTGGTTAAGTTGCCAATGTGTAAAATGACTGTTGACGAGCTGATGGTTTTTTGGCTGACTGACCTTGATGCATTGATGGCTTTCCTGTCATAATATCGTGCGATGGATTCAATCAAGGACTCTTCTGAAGAGACAAGAAGTTTTATCGTGGACATTGTAGATATTGGAAGATTTCAAGAAAACTTCCAACTAAAGATTTGTATAGTAATATTAATTAATATATCTATAACATTGAAAGCTCTTAACATTCTTGTTGGCACAACCGTGTTTAACTTGAGGCCATGACTATAGGTAAAGAGTAGTGTTTTGTTACAACAGCTTGTTCTAGAATGAAATTCTCTTGTTAAGAATCTGTGATCAGACTGTACATGATTTCTGATCATTTAAACATGATGGTTAGAAGTTCCCAAAAGCTTCTGTTACAAATGCATTGCAAGAACTCTGGGAAGAACAGAAAACAATGTTTTATGACCACTGAGGTGTGAAAGATGTTGATTTGCTTTGAGGAAAAGGAAGGAGGTGTCTGTATGTTAGTTACACATATTAATTAATTTCATACATAGTTTAGAAGAAATTATTTGCATGTGTAATAATAATTTTATTTGGAACAGTCACTATTTACGATTTACTATTTAAATTCAAGAGATTTTTTTGTATGTACTGCCAAAAAGAGAGACTATGTTAAGTCTGTATTTTGTAAAAAATTTAATATACCTGCATGGTCATGGAATTTTCACTGTTGCAGGTTCAGATCTTTAGATGCTAAAGAATTATTAGACATACTTTTCAACTATCTTAAATTTACAAAAGAAAGGGTAATATTTTGTTTCGTTGAAGAGTTGACCAGAAAAAGTTTAGAATTTTAGTTAAACACGGCACTGTGTTACCAGATATACAAAATTATGTGAAAGAGCTCTTACTTAATGATAGTAATGAGAATTAAATTCCTTAAACTAAGTTTTGTCCTTAAAATGTGCCACATTAGGATTATGGAATGCACTGATATTGGTATTTGTATTACTTAACTTATTTTTCATTTCATACAGATGTAATTTGGTTGAGGCATGTTTGAAAGGACAAGTAATTTAATTTTTTTGTTTGTGATTTGAGATAGTTTTTGTCCAGTGGCTGTGCCACTGTGATGTAATTTAATTATTAGAATAGTAAGTGAATTATATATTGTTTTATTGAAAGAACAGTCTTGAAGTGATGAAAACTTTATTGCAAGACAAGACAATAAATTACCCTACCAATGATATTGAAACGTACCAAAAAATGACTAAATGGGTGAGCCAAATAGATTCTCAGATAGTCTTGCAGCGAAATTTTCATTTTTCATTTTTGTACTAGGAATAGTATTATTTTATGTGGTTATTATACCTGACTGTAGAATTAACTTCAATCATTAAAAATTTTTATGTCTGTCCTTTGTTGTTAATATGTTGTGTTAAATATTATAAGTTTAACAGCTGGTTTGTATGGATTTTTAGAGGTAGTTTGCATCCTCTAAGTACATCTCCTTTATTGTTCCTGTTTACATTTGTGTATGGTTATCTTAGAAAACCGATCTCAATAAATGCTTTGGTCAGTGACTTAAGCATTGTAAAAAATGGATGTTCCCTCTAATCCTTTCACTGATTGCAGTGTCAAATTTCAGGTCTAAACTGAGAAGAAATTGCTGTTGAATCTCAAAAATGATGTTATTGGGTCTTAACCTTTGAGTTGAACTTTGACAATGCCAAAAGGAAAGAATTAAATGGAGCACATTTTCAGTTACTAGCCTTACTGTTATGATGCAAGGGAGTGGCGTCTCTACTCTGCATTGTGCATATGCATGCTTGCATAATTTATCCATGCTGCTTTACACCTTAAGCACTAAGATGTTTCTAGCATAATTTCCCATCTTCAATGAGTTGTTTTTAAGTATAGTCTTGTAACTTTTTTTAATTCTATTCCCACAACTGGCACTTTCCTGACTGTTTGACTGAATGACACCTGTCAATCAACAATAAATCTGAGACCCTTTGTTTTTCCCTTGACAGAACACCTCCTCCAATGGGTTGCCAGTTTGTCGGGACTTTGTCTCTGGCCAGTGCCACAGAGAAGCCTGCCGCTATGCCCACGTTAAAGACAGTGAGCTTTCTTTCTTTTGTTAATGCTTAGCTGAGTAGCCCTAGCAGCCTTGGCGCTAACCAACATGTAAATTTGTAGTATTCTTAAAAAAGACCATTGTCAGTGAAACATGAACTGGATGTCAAAGACCTAAAAAAGAGGTAGAACATAACGAGGAAAATGAATTTCCTGATGGTTTGAGCTGCCTGCGGTTGATAGGGCTAAGCTGTGCCTCCAGATCATTCTTGCTTATTAGGCAGGCTCTTGTTCTTGCTTTGCTGGCCTGTTTATAAAAAAATCAAACAAATTCAAACTCTTCTAGACATAAGTTTACACCAGCTGGTGAATTTTCCAGTCAGTTTTTGGTGCTATAAAATCATCCTCTCTCAAGTGCTTGATCTTGAAAAGGCAACATTTCTCAAAATGATTTTGAAATTTGACAAGTTAAAAGTATTATTAACTCTTACGTTTTAATTCCATAGTGGACTGGACATACATATTGAAAAATGCAAGCTTGAAATAAACAATGAAAAGCACTTCTAACATATACACACTAAAGAAATTAAATACTCCAAAAAAGTGTTTTTGATGTGCTCATTAGGGCCATTTATACGAGGAAAAATAAGACGCGTCTTACATAAGACGCGCCTTAAATAAGACGCGAACTGTACCATTTACACGAGCATGTCTTATCTAATAAGATGTGTCTTAGCTAAGCCGCGTCTTCTTTTAGACGAAATGTGCCGTTTATACGGAAAGTTCGCGTCTTATTTTTCCTCGTATAATGGCCCTAATGACTGAATAATTATCAGTTCAGTTCTTTGCATCTATTAACATTGAAAGCAATAAATCGAATAGAAAAAAAAAAACTGTACTAAATAAAACAAGACACACACACCTTGGAAATATGAATTTTATGATATACTCTGGACGTCAGGTCCCCAGAAAATAGTTTTGTTTCCCTGAGGGTCTGCACTGTGTGTCCAACAAATCTAATATTAAAATGATGAATATACACTTTTCATGTATTTGAACTGCAGAATAAACAAATAAATAGATCATCACAGGTAAAGATGCAACTTATGAAAAGGCGTGAAGCATTCGGGTCTAGAAAACCATTTACCTTGTTAAAAGAAGCCACTAATAGAAGAATAAGAGATTCAGTGATTCTGTTAACGAAAAGTCTGAGTTAGACTATGTTTATTTAGGCACGGCAGCTTTGAGTCTGTGGAGTTTCTCATTTTGAATTTCTCTGGGATAGGCACAAATATTTGGCCCATTGTTTGGAATAGGATTGTTAAATGCCTCTGAACATAGATTATAGGCCAATAAGGAGCCTACGGTCCCCAGAGGTGGATCCAGGATTTTTTTTAGGAGGGGGTGCACTCGTCTCTTGCTCTACTTCAACACCAATCACCCATTTTTTTTTTTGCAGAATACCAGTTGTATTAGAAAACTGCAGGTCATGTCAGGGGGGGGGTGCGCAGCCCCTGCACCCTCCCCCTAGATCCACCCCTGGGTCCCATCTGCACATCTCCACCCAAAAATTCACAGAGTACCCCGCCCCCCTTCCCATTACTATATGCTGGGCTGAAGTTGAAGGGCAGCTTTGTCGTGGGTGACATTAAAGGATGCATTCATCAGTTATGATCATAATATTTGGGAAACAATAAAATGGAATTTACTCTTCTAGAAGTTGCCTTTTTTATGCATTGTTTGCATTATGACATCTGTAAGTCTGGCTTCCATTTTGTATTTAGATATTTGCAGCAATTATTTACAGCTAGTGATTCCCGAAATTTCCAGTGGAAGGGATTTCTAAGAATCCTAGTTTCTTGGCATCCTTTTTATTGGAACACCATAAATCAAGACACACCCCAATTGCTTTTCATTTCACACTCTGCTTTCCATTTGTTACTTTTCTACTTGTAGAAAATGTAGAAGTTATTGATGGAAAGGTAACAGTCTGCCGAGATGCAGTAAAAGGAAAGTGTACAAGGCCAAGCTGTAAATACTACCACCCTACAACCAGTTCATCTTCATCTGCATCAGCTCCAGATCAAACCCCTAGATAGAACATGCCCATAGCTGGATGGGTGGAAGGAATATGGAGGTCAAATTTCGGTCAAGAGCTATTTTTGGTACCAAGAGTGTCTTAACTCTCGGAATACTACCAAAATGTTATTATTATTCGTAACTAAGGGGGTACCCCCCATGCACAGCTGGTTAAAATTGATGCACTAATACTTGTAGGGGAATCTTTGCTGGTATTTTAATTTATTGGCTTCATAAAGTTTTCACCACCCAGGAACAAAATTAATGAACTTCACAAATTGGTAGCACTTCCAAGGAAAGTTGAAATACTTGTTGGAAAAATTTTGAGCTCTTATAACAGGGTTCATACTCTTTCTGGTTTTCAAAATTCCATGACTTTAATGACCTTGTCAAGTTATCCATAACTCAAAGTTAAACACCTTTTTTCAAAATTTGACAAAAGATAGCTGTTATACATTTTTTCCCACTTTCTGAATTGCTTTATTTTTCTTTTTGTATTCTTTGTACTTTTTGCTTTTTAATAGAACACAACATAGTTTTGTGATTTTGCACAGTTAAGAAACAATTTTTCACAACTTTCAATTATCCAAACTAAAAGCCATCTCTTTCCATCCTTAGATAGTAAAAGTTTAATATTCAATGACTTGCCAGA